CAGTCCGGTCCAGACCGGTTCAGACCGGCTGGACCGGTTCAGCCCCGTTTTTAAATCAGTTCGATTCTTATGTTAAGGTTTCAGCCCGGTTCACGATTTTAATAATATTTTCAGTTAAATTCCGAGATTATTTCAGTTCAGTAAATTCATGTCCAAATCAGTTCATGTCAGTTCAGTCCCGGTTATTCCGGTTAAGTCTAAATATCATATTAAGTTCCGTAGAGCATCTTAATGAAATTAATCAGTTAAGTTAACAGTCTGAGCATAGTCATTAGTAATTGTTTATATTATTTTCAGTTTGATCAGGCATCAGCACTACCGTTCAGTTCAGCAGTTAGGGTGGGGACTCAGACTACGTACTACATTGATTATAATTACAGTACCATGTTTGAGGTATGTATTTCAGTTGAGGTACCCGCTCGGAATGGTCACCGGTCCATTCTGGGTTCTAGTGGCCCTAGTCTGCCCACTAGAATGTGCACATGGTGTCCGGCTTTGCCGGCAGATGAGGTAACGGTCAGGGTCACGGTTGCGTGACGATTTCAGGGTCACGGTTGCGTGACGATTTCAGATTCATGTTCATGTTATTACCGGCTTGAGGTTGAGGTTATGTATATACTGATATCATGATGTTGTTATTATTTTCAATGTTTACATTAGTATGAGTTTCCACGGAGCACAGTGCCATAGTGCTCATTTCCCACTTTTATCATGTTTTTCAGGTCAGGATGTCGGGCCGGGAGCGTGACGTGACGGAAGCTTCAGGACATTCATGTTTTTGACTGTATAATATTTATGATGACTTACGCTTCCGCTAATTATGTTTTGTTGACTTGTGACGATGTTTTTGATGTCTTTTGACGTACTCATATTTTGACGAACTTATCTGTTGACCAACTTTTGGGAAACTTATGCTTTCAGTAACCGGATGATTTTCTTAAAAATTAAAACAACGGTTTTCCGAATTAAGTCACGATTTTAAGGTAGCACCCCGAATCAGTTTTCGCAAAGTAAAAGGTTTTATTTTTAAATAACTTTGCGAATTTCTCGCACTCTGATTTTACGATAAGGAGGGGTGTTACAAATGGTATCAGAGCACGTTTCTGCGTCTCTGAAAAAGTTTTTCAGACAGTAATTTTTCAAAAAAACCTGAACCGTCATGCTCACGCCCCGCCGACGACAGGTAAGTGCTGATTCAGTTTTTCAGTTATAAACATATTACTTTGTCTATGCTCAGAATTAAGGATCATGACTTTAGTTAAGATGCTCGAATCAGGTTCAGACTTTAGAGTTCGGACATGACTCTAGAATTCAGGCATTCAGATATGACTCTAGACTTTAGTATCTTTCGATATGACTCTAGAGTTCTTCAGGATTCACGTCAGTAGTTATCGGCCACTTTTGGCTACTCGTCAAGAGATTTGTGTGCATAAGTAATCAGTCAGAATGTTATCATGTATTCAGTAATGTTAAACTTTCTCAATGTTCAGATGCCGCCACGTAGGGAACCCGTTCATCAGGCTCCTACTTAGGCTACGGTAGTCGCTCAGTTCCGCGACTATCACGCCGAAAAGTTCTCAGGGCAGGGAGATCCCCGCATTGTTGATGAATGGATTCAGGGCATAGGGTTTATCTTTGAGGTTATGGACTGCCCCGACAAATATCGCGTAATCTGCGCTCAGCTTCAGCTCACTGGTGATGCAAGGCTCTGGTGGAATGCCTACTGGAGCATGCGTCCCGGTGAAAAGGCGGGTTGTACATGGGACATGTTCAAGGAGCTAGTCCGCGACAAGTACTACCCTTTCTACTATCGGGCAGAGATGGAGCGTCAGTTCTTAGCGCTTCAGCAGGGCACTCGTACTGTCGATGAGTACGAGCGAGAGCTCACTAGACTTGCAGCTTTCGTACTGGACCTGGTTCGTACGGAGGCTCAGAGAGCGCAGCGGTTTATTGACGGGCTTTTTCCAGCAGTCCGTCACAACATCGTTGGACACGGCACCCAGACCTACGCTCGTGCAGTTTCTATCGCCCAGGAGGTGGACGCTAGCATCAGGAGGGAGGCAGTCCGTGATCGTGCTCAGCCATCCGCCCCAGTTCAGCCATTCGCAGCTCCACCAGCTCTACCAGCTCCTCAGTCGGCAAAGGAGAAGAAGAGGAAGGGGAAGGGTGCACAGACGGACCGGAGGACCCGACAGAGACAACAGCCGATTCCACCATGCCCGACTTGCGGATGACTTCATAGGGGAGAGTGCCATGTGGGTCAGGATATCTGCTACTACTGCCACGAGCATGGACACTTTGCGAGTCGCTGTCCGAAGAGACTCCAGCAGCAGCCTCAGCAGCCTCAGCAGCCACCACAGCAGCAGCAACCACGTCAGCAGGCACAGAGGCCGCCTCAGCAGCAGCAGCAGAGGGGCAGACAGCAGGCCCGAGTTTACGCGATCGATCAGGCGGAGGCAGCACAACAGCCAGATACTATGTCAGGGATGGTTGTTCTCAATGATATTCATGTGTTTGCTTTATTCGATACTGGAGCGACACATACTTTCATTTCACGACGATGTCTCGATGCCATCGGAGTTCACGCCGTTACCGCTGTCGATCCTCTCGAGGTAAGCTTAGCCCCGGGACGAAAGATAGTGACCTCAGCTAAAGCCTCAGATCTTAGCCTTTCCATCGGTGGCCGAGTATTGACTGCCGACGCGTTTGTTCTCGAGATGAGAGACTTCGGTCTTATTCTCGGAATGGATTGGCTATCCTTCTATCATGCAGACATCAGGTGTCATGACCGGGAGATCACTCTCTATCTTCCGGGAGACGAGTCGATTACTTTATTCGGCTTCAGGAATCGTTCACTGTCTCATGTTGTTTCGATGGCGAAAGCCACTAAGTTATTGCGACGAGGCAACTGCAAGGGTTATCTGGTTAGCCTTGTCGATGATTCTCAGAAAGCGCGAACACCTCATGATGTTCCAATCGTTCGCGAGTTTTTGGACGTGTTCCCAGACGAGCTTCCAGGAGGACCGCCTAATCGGCAGGTGGAATTCTCTATCGATCTTATTCCAGGGGCCGGTCCAGTATCTAAAGCCCCATATCGTATGGCGCCTAAGGAGTTGCAGGAGCTCAAGACTCAGATTCAGGAGCTGTTACGACTCGGTTTTATCCGGCCGAGCGTGTCACTGTGGGGAGCACCCGTTCTCTTTGTTAAGAAGAAGGACAGATCCATGCGCATGTGTATCGACTACCGGGATCTTAACCGGTTGACGATCAAGAATAAGTACCCGCTTCCCAGGATCGACGACTTATTTGATCAGTTGAGGGGAGCCTGTGTGTTTTCAAAGATTGATTTACGATCAGGCTACCACCAGCTGAAGATTAAGGAGTCAGATATCGCTAAGACCGCTTTCAGCACTCGTTACGGCCATTACGAGTTCGTCGTCATGCCTTTCGGTCTCAGCAATGCGCCAGCAGTTTTCATGGACCTTATGAACCGTATTTTCCATCCCTACCTCGACCAGTTTGTTATTGTCTTTATTGACGATATTCTT